AGGGTGGGGGATGGGGAATCAGGGATGGCAAGACAAAGGGCAAGGTATGCAGGATGTAAGAATTGGAAAATTACTTGCTGAGAAGATGTATGTTGATGTGCTTGATTGAACCAGTACACCGTGTATTTTGGATGGAAAATTTATTGGTGGGTTGTGATGGTGTATAGTGAATTAAGGTAGAAAATAAAAATTAAAAAATTAAAAAATTAAAAAAAAAAAACAACTGGAAGAGTCTACAATGTTACCCAGCAGGCTATTGGCACTGCTGTAAACAAACAATTTAAGGGCAAGATTCTTGCCAAGAGACTTAACGTGTGTATTGAACATATTAGGCATTCTAAGAGTAAAGATAGTTTCCTAAAATGTGTGAAGGAAAATGACCAGAAAAAGAAGGAAGTCAAAGAGAAAGGAACATGGGTTCAACTGAAGTGCCACCCTGCTCCACCCAGAGAAGAACACTTTGTGAGAACCAATGGAAAGGAGCCTGAGCTTCTGGAACCTATTCCCTATAAACTCATCATGGGTGTTAAAAAATAATCTATGGTCTATAAAAAAATAAATAAAAAAATAAAAGTAAACTGGCGTGGCTCAGTAGTAACATGCTGCTCTAGAGAAGCAGGATACCCCATGATGACTAGGGTCAGAATTCCCGGCAGTCAGCTGACACACGCCAGGCATACGTGAGAGTATCTGAGATACAAGAGACTGAAGGACTGGCAGAAGAGAATCACGATGACCTGTGGAGGATGTTTCTCTCCCTCTCTCTAACATGTATATGCGCTATCATAAATGAAGACCAAAGAAAATTCTTAAATAAAATATGTCTGTGCCATGAGAGCAATGAAGATGTTCTGCTGAGAAGTCACCCTGGAACAGCCCCTTCTGTACTTTTCTCTCTGTCTCTCTCTCTCTGTCTCTGTCTTTTCATTTTTTTAATTTTTCTTTTTAAAAATTTTTAAGGTAAAATTTTTTTCTTGGCTCTGAAATCCTCCTTTATCTTAGTAATAATGCCCTCCCTTTCCCCCCATCCATCTAGGCAAACAGAAGGGGCAGGCCAGAAGAAGACTGAGTTGCCATGAGAGCTGACATCCAGTGATTTCGTGTGGCATGCACGTTTGTTTGCTTTCTCCTCTTTTTCCTTTCTTTCTCTGTTATCTTTTTTCTCTTACCTCATCACTTTGCTGCTCAGTCTCCCCACACTGAGAGTCTAGACAGGTCTAAGTGAAAAGTTGCCAAAATCCAAATACAGAAAATCAAATCTCAGATGCTGAAGACAAAATCGCGGGACTAGTAAAAGCCACCACGAAGACTGAGAAAATAGTCCAAAAAAATGATAATAATATATAATACTAGATACCATTAAATGCCCAAGCATCCAGATAATCGGTATCCCAGATGGTGAAGAGACTAATAAGGGCACTGACAATCTATTCCATGAAATCCTAGAAGAAAACTTTCCAAACCTAGAGAGGCATTCAAAGATCCAGACCCAAAAAAATACAAAGGATCCCAAACAAGATCAACCCAAGATCTTCTCCAAGACACATTAGAGCCAGAATGACCAAAACCACAGACACAGACAAGATACTCAAACTTGCAAGAGAGAAACGTCAAGTTACCTACAAAGGATGGATATCCCATCAGGCTAACAGCAGACCTCTCATCAGAAACAACGTGAGCAAGGAAAGAATGGGAAAACATATTCAAAGTGTTGAGTGAAAAACAATTTCAACCAAGAATACTATTCCTGTCAAGATTATCCTTTGTATGGGAAGAAAAGACAAGAACATTCTCAGATAAACAAAACCTGAAAGAATTTACTAACACCAGACCAGCTCTCCAAGAAGTTCTGAAGGGAGTGCTATCCCAGGAAAACTAAAGTCAGACACACAGAAAGAAGAGTTCCAAAACGGCTAAGCAAATAGCCAGCTTAATGGTAGGGACAAGTGCGGAGTTGAATGCTATCCTCCAGAATTTAAAAGTAAAGATTGGACCACAACAGAAGACAAAGTACATGAGTTTGAACTGGCAAAATAGAATTTTATACCTTTTGACTAAAACATGACTGACCTTCTATGCTTTGTTTTCCAGTGTTAAGGAGTTTTGTCTTCTCTCAAGTTGTGGACAAGTCCATGTACCTACTGTTTGAACAGAATCCTAACCTGTTTCCTGGCTTTAAGTATTAAGTAAAGTTCTTTTAACATTTTTTTATTTTGATTTATTAAAGCAAAAACTGCCTTTCTTGAAATTAAAAAATACATTTAAAAAAATACCATTTAGTGACCACAATAAGCTATATAGCCTCAACTATGTGCTATTTTATAGTATATTCATTCTACCCAGAGTTTCAAGCCTAAAGTCAACTTTTGCTCACAGATATGTATATATCAGCTGAATTTACTACTGAAAGTATTTAGATTAATTAAGATCTTTTGTGAATCAATACAATGCGGGAAAGAATAATGGAATGGAAAGTAACTGCAGATACCAGAGACAGGGTGGGAGGAGGGTGGGAAATGGCAGATGTTGAGAAATAAGGGGGAAAATATATATATATGTATATACAAGAAACGAAAAATGGAAAATTATTTGTTGATGATTACATATATGATTAAGCCACTTTACAGTGTATTCTGGCTAGAAAATCGAATTTGTATGCTGTGGTGATGTTCAGTGAAAGTACATAAAATAAATTAAAAATATAGCTATGGGAAAAAAATATAATTAGTTTTGGGAAAAATAAAATGTTTACAGATGGCAAAACTGGAATTCAACAATGTACCCTTCCCCAGGGCCACAGAGTTAATAAGCAAATGAGCAGGGACCTAGACCTGCTGTGCCTCTCCCCTCAGAACAATGCACAAAGCAGTTCCCAGCAGGGTGCCAGCCAGGCCACAGGCTGTCACTACCAGAATGAGGGGCAGGGTGCAGCTTCCTGTCCTGAGACACCCATGGGGACTATGAACACAGGTATTCAAGTAGAATTTAAACACACTCCATGAAAGCTTTTCTACAGGTGACTCCAGGTCAACGCCAAGGCACAAAAAAACAACCCCAGGTATTTTATTAGGGAGGCCATGAATTAGAGAGGAAGCTTACCCAAGCCAGGCATTACTGCCAAATAATTTACATTAAGTACGTCCCTGCGGCGATGCAGGGGGTGGTAATGTCCATGATCAAAAGGAAATTAATGCACATGGTCTTCAATGAACCAATACTGCAGTTTATCTTAGGTTGTTCTGAGGACTTGAAACAACAATCTCTAAAACTGCCCTGTAATTCAAACACTTCACTTGCTCCAGCCTCTCTGGGCTGAGACTTAGTAAGGTTTCACTCTCAGCAAAATCTTGATAAACAAGATAAATTAGCTTACCAGATTCAAAAGGAATAAATCTCACATTCGGCTCAATGAAAATCAAACTGCTACACTTAGAGGATAAGATAGCAAATTGACGTTACCTAAAATGTCTTTTTTAATCCCCCAAAACTCTTCATTCTGTCTAGGTTATCAGATTAGAACACCTGCTAGTCCCCAAGCTAACACTTTCAAAAACTATGTCTATTACCTTGTTTAGTAGTCTGATGTTATTTAACCAAGTGGACTTCACTCGTGGGAGAAAGGAGAAAGTGACTTCTTTGAAGTACTTGCTCAGTAAGTCCGGGCACACTTTAAGGATGTTCACCACCAGGTCAGCCACCAGCTCGTCATCTGGTGCAGTCTTCAAACTCAGCAAGAAGTGCAAGAGCGTCAGGTTTCCTCCTCTGAGAGAAGAGAGAAGAGGGGTCAATGAGGAAAGTTCAAGTACACCAGGAACTCACAGGAATGGCAGCTCCATGGAATCACCTCAGTGAATGCGGCTGTAACAGGCCATGGATGAACTTCCCACAGCATAAAGTCTGGTGTTCTCATGGCCTGTGGGGTTCCAGCTCTCCCCCAAAGAGCGGTCATTTCCATCCCCTGCTGCTGGGGCGCTGAAAAATTCTACCATTCCTGGTCCCGTATCTCTCCTTCCCTTCCTCCCTTCCTGAGTTCAACTTGGCTTCTAAAGAAGAGCAGGAAACCTGTTCTGTTTACCCAGCTTCCTACCGGAGTACCTGGAGGGCAAGCTGGCAGGGAGGAATCCACTCCCATGACTTCATTCTGAGATTTTAGTGACTCTCTCCACCATGCAGACATGAAAAAGCATTATGGAAATATGTATGTGTATTTTTCAAGTCACCAGGTTCAGGACTCAAACCACAGTCGGCCATATGGGTTCCAGCTGCATTAACCACCAGTCCAGAGACTGACCCCAAAAAATAAAAAAAATTTTAAACTGAATTAGAGTATGATTTTGACTAGAAAAGTATCATTTAATTTATTTTTTTTAGAATTATTTCATTTAACTTTATTTATTTTAATTTGACTAGAGGAGGACAGAGTGACAGAGAGAGAGAGAAAGAAAGCCGCCAGGTCTGGGACTCAAATTGCAGTTAGCCGTGTGGGAGTCCAGCATCCTTAACCACCACGCCACCTGCCGGCCCCAGAATGTAAAATTCTTAATATGAAAATGACATGTACAAAACAGACATAATTTGTACTGTCAAAGAAATAGAACATTTTTATTTGGGGGTGATGAAAATGCCCTAGAACAATTGTAAATAGAGACGGGGTTGTACAGACTGTGGATGTTCTCAGTGCCGCTCTGCTGATCTCTTTAAGTTCTTTCATGTTGTATGGATTTTACTTCAATAACAATAGTTGGTTGAAAAAATAAATTAAAAAAAAAGAACATTAAGTCTATACAAAGCGTGGTAAAAACACACACACACAATTTTTATCTGCAACGTAATAGAATGGATAGCACTGACACATACGTAGTGCATAACGCACGCCAGACACTGCTCTAGGCAGGCATCGCCTCTCTAAACAGGCATTAATTTTACTTCCAGTTTACAAGTGAGGTACTGGAGGCAGAGAGAATGTGTAAACTGCTCAAAGTCTGAGCTGAGTTGGGACTGCAGCCCAGTCTGACTCATGACTCCTCTCTTAATCCCCACACCAAAGGTCAACAAATTAGGGCTCCCCACCAAGTTTGTGAACAGTTACATCCGTCTGTTTACATCTGTCCACATCTGTGGAGCTACAACATAATCACAACAGAGATCACAGCCTGCTGGGCCTCAATTACTATCTGGTCCTTTATAAAATATCTTCCTGGGTCAGCAGGTGGCATGGTGGTTAAGGCACTGGACACCCACATGGTCAACTGCTGGCTCAAGTCCTGTACCTGGCAGCTTGCTTTTTCTCTCTCTGTCTCTCCGTCTTGTGAGCACATGTGCCCTATGGCAAATGAAAAATAATAATAAAAATAATGGATAAAATTTAAATTAAAAAAAGAAACAGGGGGAACCAGCAGTTAGCGTAATGGCTATGTCGCTGGACTCCAACGTAGTCGACCGCGGTTCACGTCCAGTACCCGGTGGCTTAAAACTCACGATGGGCGCATGTGCGTGCGTGCCCAAGATCCCGAGAGAATGGAGGAGAAGGGATTGCGGCGTGGCCATCCCCCCGGGGGGTGATTTCTCGCTTTATGTCTCTATGTCTCTCTCTGTTTGTCTGGCGAGTGCACGTGCCCTATAGCGAAAACCTCTCAAAAGATATAAATAAATAAAAAATAAAAGTTTTCCAACCCTTGCTCTACACTGGACACCTTGCTTTCAATGGGCACCTACCAGGTCTAGGGAACCAAACAGGCCTGCTTTTGTTCTCACCCTTTCTCACCGATCATTTGAATAATCAATCATAGAACAAATGAATTAACATGTAAGGTGATGACAAGTCAGTCAGCAGCCTGAGCCAGGCAAAAGGACAGGGACACTAGAGGAGCTATTTGAGAAAAGGCCACCAGGAAGGGTACCGTGACATGGTGTCATTTACACGGGGACCTGAATGAACTGAGAAAGTGAGCTGCGTGCTATCAGGACATCAGCTCTCCCAAAGCTGTTACTGTCCGTAAACACAAACCTCTTTCTCTCCTCTAAGCACGAAATTCTGCCTATAGCTTAAAAAGTTCACATAAACTGCAGCTTAGTCCAAATAGACCCAGACCCACGAGCTGATTCTATATGTCCATTACATGATCACCCCTTTCACAGGTCTAGTTATGGTAGAAAAAAATACTTCAAAAAAGGAGAAAAGGTGCTTATGTCTTAGCCGTGGTATTACACAGTTACATTTTACCAAGAGAAAGCTTATTCTTACTGATGAGAGAAAAACTATGCTGTCGCAGAGACAAACAAAAAAAAGAAAAAAGAAATGTGCCAAGTTAAATCATAATAATCTCAAAATTGAAACAAGTCCAAAGTCACAAGCAGGTAGAAAAATCCCCACAAGGTTATCCCATTCTAAAAGAATCAGTGATTTCCAGACTGCTTGAAATTAGAAGTAAACTATCTAGGGCCAGCTAGTGGCATGTTGGTTAAAGCAGCTGATTCCACATGGCTGACTGTGTGGTTCAAGTCCCAGACGTGGTGGCTAGAAAAACACACCAGGCATGTGTGCATGGATGCCCAAAACCCGAGAGGAGAATGGAAGAAAAGGAATTGTGCCATGGCCTCCTTTCTGGTGGAGGTAGTGAGGGGAGGTGCTTTCTCACTTTCTCTATCTGGTGAGTGCAGGCACCTATAGGAAAAAATAAATAAAAAGTAAAAACCCTTATAATAAAATGCTATACTGTCAAGGGAGTAAAAAGTAAGCCACTTGAAGTAACTAAAAATATGTCCAATATTTTTATTATCAAATGGTAAAAGGAGGTTGGTAAATAGTAGCTTACAAACAAACAAACAATAAACGCTGTTAAGTAATAAAGAACTAGTAGCTGTAACTATCAGCTTTGGAACTGGATTCCCTGACTTCTAATCTGAGCTCTGCCATGTAGCGAGGTAAGTGGCTTGCCCTCTCTATTTTTCTCTTCTGCAAAACTGGGTAAGAACGGATCCCGCCTGTGGACCGCCATGAAGCCACCCAGGGCCAGCTCTCTCTGGGAAGGCAAACGTAACGGACATATTCTCAGATTCGGTGGACACCACTGTCTTCAGGTAAACGCAGCGGCACCACTTAGGATGGAACAACCCATCACTGTATGTCACCCCGAGCCCTCTGTCCTCAGAGCACACAGTAAATGCAAGCTCTCTGGGCTCTGATGCCCATCCCCACACGCGGTAGGTAACGTCTACAATTCCAGTTCTAACCTGCAACTCCATCACTGACTGATTTCCAGGAGACAATCAGTACATGAGGCTTTAGAGGAACACACACCCCAGGGTTCACCAGAGCGTTACTTAACCTGCCAAAGGTACCAAACGATGCATCATAAAAATTAATCCCATGCTTGAGCGAGCAGCAAAGGTCCATCAGGAAGTTATGAACAAGTTCTCTCACCGTGGCTTTCCCTGCTTCAGCAGACACCTAGGAGAATTTTAAAAGAATTCAGTGAAAATCCAAAGCTCTCTAATCTTAGTTAACAGTCAGAGGATAAAAACAGGACAGTAACACCTGCCTAATGACAATCCAGAAAACATTTTACATTACACACCTGGAATCATTCCAAAAAAAACAACTAGGGAAACAAAATGCAGGTACACCAATCAAGATAAATGAATTCTCTTACGAGGAGCAAGTTTAAACCTGAATTTTTAAAAGCTTAAAAATGGCTTAATTCCTCTTGCTCTTTTAAATGAAATTCTACATTGAGGAGTGTTTTTATTAAGTCCCTGAGGCTTCTTGGTAATAGAAGGAACAAAAACATGTTCAAAACAAGAGGACATAGGAAAATCACCAAGATGAAAGGAAGAAAAAGAGCAGGCTCCTCTGAGGTGAGTTAGCATCAAGTTAACAGGACGTCTAAGCCTACACTACTCTGGCAAGTCCACGTTCAGAAACACCCTGAGGAAAATTAAGACATGCACTGATCTCATGTCAACGCAGAACAACTGTTCCAATTTAGCACTTGAACTGACTACTGAAAAATCAATTACAAGTCAGTCGGTGAGGCTCCCAGGCACTTAAGATCCTGAAGTAAAAGGAAGAAGCCTTAAAATCCCTAAACTGGATATGAAAGAGTGGAAGGAGGGAAAAGAAGAGATAAAGACAGGGGAAAGAGACAGATTCTGGAAGCCCAATAAATCTATCCAGCAAGTACTGTAGG